GATGGTGTTGTCGTAAGGATTAGAGGATCGACGGTAGTAATCGTATCTAACTTTTGATTGATAGAGAGGTGCGTAAGACGGACAGGTGTTTCCTATATACCTTGTGGCTGTTTGTGTTATAACCCTTWKGCGCAAGGTGGATGCGTAGATAGGTAGAGAGKGGRKGGGGGGGGGGGGGGGGGGGGGGGGGGTGGTATTTCCYTWTTTYTYTTKYTWKTTTTTTTTTTKTTTTTTTTTTTAAGCTCTTGCTGGGTTTGTGTTGCGGGGTTTTTTCTTGCTACCGTCTTCCCCCGAGCACAACGCACCCTTATTTTGGCTATATATGGCCGGAAATATAGCTTGTATACATTCATCTTTAGGGTGCGTTATGTTCGGGGCAAGACGGTAGTGTTTGCGCTATTGGGTGGTGGACAGACATTTTCACGAGGGTGGGTACACACTATCGGCAACAGGACAAGGCACACAATTCCCAAAAAAAAAAGGTAGAGTGGGCAGCAGCTGCCAATGTGCTAGTGCTATTATTAGCGCTTAGTCTTTGGGTAGGATGTGGAAGTAGAGACCAGATATAGATTCGGTGAAGTAGAAATAGATAGATTCGGTGAAGTAGAGACAGCGATATTTTTTTATTTTTATTTTTATTTTTTAAGGGCGATGGCCTTGAGGTACGATCATCGTCGCGGACTAACCAGCCCAGGTAAATTGAATCTTGTGTCTAGTCTGACACCGACCGGGTGGCCTTTTTAGCTCAGGGTGGCCTTTATTTATTGCCTTGAGAGAACCCCCAACGGGGGGGGGACACCGGTGAAGTAGAGACAGATAGATTTGGTGATAGATTCGGTGAAGTAGAGACAGATAGATTTGGTGGTCGTGGTATATGCCGGAGTCGCAAAAAATAGTTTTTTTAAAAATTTTAATATTCGAGGGAAATACACTCTGGGCAGAAAAAGAGTATCGGATTGCATTCCGGGCAATGTATACAAGCTAGCTTGTCGGGCAGGTGGGGTTGCGTGGTGAGGGTGTGTTGTGTTCGGGGGAATGCTGTAAGTGTAATTGGAGACTGTTTTTGTGACTGTACGGAAGTTGTCCTCTTTCTAAATTCTTCACGTCAGTATGTTGTCGTCAACCCCCTGAATAGAATGCCCGGTTAGTATGAACGTATTTGGGCGACTTTCAGTCCAGGTACAGTGATACTGACCGGGGCGTTCTATTCGGGTGAAGACGGTGGTCTTGCGTAGTAGGAGGGGGATCTTCTCGCTCGTATATATGTGTTTGTTCATCAGGCCTGGTGCCAGGCCATAGTACTCGGATTTTTTTTTTTTTTTTTTTTTTTTGTATGAATTGTTTCCTGTTTTTATGCTGTTGCGTGCCTTTTGTTGTTGTTGTTGTTGTTGTTGTTGTTGTTTTTTCTGCGTGCGTTTTGCCTGCCAGTGCCTGCCTGTGTCCGCCGTGGATATCCTTTTTGGTCGTGGACATTATCAAAACCTGAGGTCGTGGAACTGTTCAGCTGAGGGGGTCCAGATGAGGTTGTGGAAATCTTCACTGAGGTCGTGGAAATGTTCAGCTGAGGGGGCTGAGCTGAGCTGAGCTGAGCTGAGCTGAGGGGGGGGGGGTGCGCTGAGAGGTCGTGGATCCACGTATGTTTATATGTTGTGTATGTGGCGAACGTTTCTACGTTGTTGTGTGTGCCGTGAACCGTGAACGTCTTTTTTTTTGAAAGTGTGAGGTGTGCCGTGAGGGTTTTCATCTTGTAGATGCTAGATGAATGTTTCCAGCAGATTGTTGTGCCTTCTGCGAACCGAGTTAGGGGTTGTCCTTTGGATTCAGAGCGCCCTAAGCAGCAGAGCGCCCTAAGTAGTTGGGCCCCTATGTTTGGGCCTTTGTTAAGAAAGAAATCTGCCAGCTGCGATGGAGGAGTCGAAGGAGCGCCCTAAGCAGCAGAGCGCCCTAAGTAGTTGGGCACCTATGTTTGGGCCTTTGTTAAGAAAGAAATCTGCCAGCCGCAATGGAGGAGTCAAAGTCAACGAATGAATCGAATGAATGAATTAGATAATGGGTCTCGTTAGACACTCCTAAAAGTGCCGCAATCATTGGTTGGGATCGCATCTTGGTTGCACGCAATCCTAAATCCAATTTTGAGATCGAAAATGTGAAAATGGCGTTAGGAGTCCTAAAGGATTTAGGATTCCCCAGGCAAAATCGTCTTGAATTTTCCAGTAGCCCCCCGACCTCTACTGAAACATTTAGGATTCCCGCGTTTCACGGACTCGCTGCATCGCGCGCATGGCACCATCGACACAGAGTTGCTGGTGCAGAAGCGGTCCGTCGGGTCAGTGGTCAGACATCGGAGGTTTTCTGCGGGTAGACGCGGGCAACGGCCACGAACGGTAGCCATTGGTGGGGATTGGATGGATATTGGCAGGAATGGATGAACATTGGTGACGCGGCTGCGTATATGCATATGAAAACCGGCCGCAGGAGACCTTTTAGGATTGCATGTAACGATGCCGCACGAAATCCTAAAAGTAAGCGAGTGTGTGTATGTGTGTGTATGTGTGCGTGCGAGAGAGAGAGAGAGAGAGAGAGAGAGAGAGAGAGAGAGAGAGAGAGA